TGGCCAAGGGAGGGTCACGTCCAGGTAGTAGACGTGGGCTCAACTCTGGAGTCAGACAGACGCTGCCCCTCTCTGGCTGTGGGCAGTGAGGTTACTAAGTCAACCTCCCCGTCCTGTTTCATCACCTGCCCACCCACACTCCATGCGGCCACTGTGGGCTTTCAGTGAAAGCATCCAGACGAACACCTAGAGCGCTTGGCACACGGTCAGCACTCCATCTCTGTTGACCACCATCACAGACCTGAGGGATCTCAGTGGGGAACAACCAAGAGGCAGGAACAGCACGGTGAGGTGTGTAAGCCCCACGGAGGCAGGGACCCGTCTGCTAGTGCTCGCCACTAGAGTCTCAAACCCTGGAAGAACACCCGAGACGGAGAGGCTGTGCAACAGTTATCAAATGAACGAACGAATGAACGAACACAGAGGTAGGATGCTTAAGAGTGGGTGGGGTTTGGGCAGCTGAGTGGCATACCAGAAAGAGCACTGGTTCAGGGCCAGAAGACCCAGCTCAACTTCCCGTCCGCCCATCTGCCGGCAGGACATCCCCATAGCTGTGGCCTTCCAGTGCGAAATGAGAGCCTGCACAAGACCGTCCTCGCTCCTCCAAGCCCAAAGTTGAGGGTTCCAAGCTCTGCGTGCTGTTACCCAAGGCTCACCCCCCTTACACAAAGACTCTGGGTCAGTCAAATTGACCTCATTTATCCTGAACACGCAGCACTTCCTGTCTCCAGCACTGTCCTCACATGCCTCCTTTTCTTCCCCAGCTCCAAGAGAGCACACAAGAAACCCTCAACCTAGGAAATCAATGGAAGAAGGTAAAGACCCCGCAGGCTCAAATGAGCCCTCCGTCCTTTTCTCAGAAGCCATCACCACCTGACAATGGTTCTTGGTGACCACTGTCTTCATTGTATATGTCTGTCTCCCAGCCCCCAGAAAACCCGGGTCTCCCCATCCACCTTCCCAAGAATCTCTGTAAATACTTCTACATTTTACTGGATTTAAATGGGAATAACTGAATTCAGTAGCATTTAACTCTGCTTAATTTTGCTGAACGTGTCGGAAAGGCAACCAGCAGTAGCAAAGGGACCTGGACTAGAAGAAACTCACCAGGCTTGCCGGGTGACTTTTAACACCTCACTTGACCCATGGGCTCCTGAAGCAGAACCTACTACAGAAGGTGAAACATCATTTCCACTTTCAGAATCAGAGTGAAAAGGGAGAAGAGGAAACTTAGAGAGTTCCAAACATCCGGGATCTATTTTCAGAAATGACTTTTCCATTCACTTTTCTTAAAAAAAAAAAAAAAAAAAAAAAAAAAACAACGAAAAAGGAAGGAAGGAAGGAAAGAAAAAGAAAGAAAGATACTAAGCCAAGAATAGACCAAGAAATGACTATTGATTCTTCCAGGAGCCCACCCCTTATGGCCTTAAAAGCAAGATGCTCCCCCATGTCCATACAAACATTACCTATTCTTCAAAAAAAATGAAAAATGGAGAAATCATTGCTTATTTATCAGAAAGTTTATATAACCCAGAAACAGATTCTGTGGAGTAAATATGGTAAACCGCCCATTAATGAATACTGAATAAAAGTTCTAAGAAGGGGGTCATGATGTCACCTGGCTCTGTCATATGGGGCTCCAAACCGGGCAAATTCCCAAACCATGGATTGTTTTCTCCATAAAGCAAGAGCCTGTTCAAAGGAATTTTAATATACCACAGAATGTCTCCAGTTGGAGCAGGTCAAATCCCATCTCGTGAACAAATGGGTCCCTAAAAGCTTATGTCATGATATCGTCTGGGTCTTCCACCATCGTCGGGATTATTTACATTCTGCTCAACCTCAAGTGTGATCTGGTGCACCATTCTTAAGCTGTCCAAAGTTGGTATTCCAGTGTTGCACAATCTCAACTGAGCTACAAGAGACAGAATGTGAAGTTTCGATCACTCAGTCCGCCTATAGGATGATATCGACACAACCCCACAGGAAGCACACATATACACAGCTGTCAAAAGCACTCAAGGTTTTCAAAGGAGGCAAAAATGTTCTTCCCAAATTTTCTGCCTCAACAGCAAATACGTTTTTATAGAGCAGTCATTGAACTCTGAGTCAATATACGTAGGATGCATATGTGCAACTAATGTAAACCACACAAGGCTCATCCACGGGAGCTACGAGCCATAGAAATGATGAATTCACTTTATATTTTTTAATGCAAAACCCTTTGTTAAAGGATAAAATCCTTTGTTAAAGGAAACTATGAACATTATACACACAGTACTGATCTGCAGAGATGGTGATTTTTAAACCTGCGGCGGTGGGGGGTGGGGGTGGGGATTCAAAATCAAACTAAAAAAACTGCATTTTGGAAATACTGAAATTTTTTATACAGCTGTAGCCACATCTGTAAAGACTGTTTCCTTGGGCTTGCAACCTCTTGGTTGTGACTCCAAAAAGAAACGATACCTACAGTAATTCACCAACACACCCCGAGCCGTGGCAATATCAAATGTTGTTAAACACAACAGTGAATGGAATTACGCTAAAACCCTAGAAGAGATTATTTACAACCCTCGGTCCTCAGTTGTTTTGCTGAAAGCAGCATATTTTATGCTATTACGGCTTTTACTAAATCGTATATGAAATCATGTTTTAGGTCAGCAACAATTTTCGCCTAACCTACCACATTCACGTATTCCTTCATAATCTCGTTTTCTTTAAAAACCTATTTGTGTATCTGCCACTCTGTCAGTTCTCTATTTGGAAGCTGTTTGGAGAAAGTCCTTGAACAGCGTCTTCCAGTTGTGTGACTCAAACACAACTCAAAAAGGGTTTCAACTGTCAGACGCACATGGAGAAAATGTGCTCTGACAAACCGTTTTTTCCATATGATAAAAATCAATTACAACCTTAAAGGATAATCAGTCACCCATAAAAATCAGCAGGGCTCTGTTTTGAAAGAGGAAAAAGAATGGCTATTACACCATACCCCATTTACACCCTTCGGTAGACTCCACTTAAATGTTTGTGGCTTGCTGAACATTCCATACATATTTCGGGCAAGGTATTATGGGAGCTGAAGTGCAAGCTGTCCCCTGCTGAATTTCACTCACTATAAAAACAATGTCTCATAAAAGTATACACATGTTTTTACTTTACAAAAAATGTAAAATATGCACTTTTGTTCACTCAATCGACACTTTTAAGCATTAGAAACGGGGACTTCTAAAAAATCTATAACATAAGCAATGTCTGAAAAGGGGGAAAATGTTATTCAGTTCGCGCAAACAGATTTCTGGAAAAAAGAACATACGAAATGTGTATGAAGCACCCAGAAAGGAAGATTCTACAAGCTGACTTCCATTGGGTCTGCTCACCTATGCCCTGGGTCATACCATTAAAATGGAAAGTTTCACATTTATATTTTTCATCTTGAATCCCCACTCCGACGTAACCACAACTGTTTTATATTACCCTCATAAAATGAGCCTTAGCCTTTTCTAAGCCAAACGGTGTTTTTAATTGGTTCATTTTCCAGTTGTTTGGGTTTTTAACAGACATACAGCATAAAAGGGCGTTACACTCCAAGCAGTTCTACCAATTCCAGAACCATCCAAGGCTTGATCAAACAGCTGTGGCTCTAGCCTTTGGTTAAAATTATTATATGATCTCACCTGATTTTCAAAATAACCAAGCATCTTTTTAACCCATAAAACTGTGCCAAGATTGATCTAAGTTTCTGAGTCCAGAAGTTTGCTGTGTTCAGGGAAAATGTTAGGGAAGCACGATCCTTTGGCTTTGTTTTTCCCTATCTGAACCCACAGAGATCTTCAAACAATAATGCAGCAGCTTCCCTCCTCCAAAGTTTATTTTCAAATGCCAGTGCCATGCAGCACTGCCTTTCCTGTGCAGGTGAGGGGAAAGCAGGACCAATGTCACCAAACTGAACCTTCTCAAGTCTTGAAATCACTGGGGAGCCAGCACTATTGCCTTTCCGGCACCCAGCAAGATATCAGGTCACCACCAGAAATACTCGGTTTCAACAGAATCCCCAATTCCACACACACGCACACGCACGCACACGCACACACTGCATCTCTCCAAAAGCAGCGGAGCCATTGAAACCAGCAATCAAACAGAAAGTTAAGGAAAAGCGTCATTACGTGAACTTAATTAAATGCAATATGGTAGCGCTTTCAGAAGAATCCTTTTTTTCTCCTCCATGGGATTTATTTACATGAATAAGACAACTTGGTGCCCTGTTCACATCTTGCACAAAAAGGAAACCTGAAATTCAGCTCTTGTTTTTCGTTTACCCCAAAAGCATATGGGTCTAATCATATTCCATTCTGCCTGCAGTAGGCAAGGCTCTTTCCATCAGAATTTTACCTCAATTTTTAAGGCGCTAAAGAGCAACCCTCATAGTTTGGGAGCGGGCTCTCCCAACTGCAAAAGAACTGGGAATCCCTGAAGTGGCCCGTCTGGCACCAGTTTCTGGATGGAAAGTACGCTGAGCCCGCCAGACAAGGAACCCACACCACGAAGCTGGAGCGCACGTTTCGGCTCCAAGATGACAGCTCATCTGGCCACCGCGGGGCCGGGGGCGGTGGGCCGCTGAGGCCCGGCAGGGATGGGCGAGGCCGCGGCGGAAAAAGGAAAAGAGGGCCATCCGTCAGCCCCGGGAGAGGAAATTCCAGGCGCCCAGCTTCCAGGCGCCGGTCAGCGGGTGACGTGAGGGAACCAAGTCACTGTGTCGGCCCCGCGGCGGGGGCCGGGAGGCGGCCGGGGCTCCGCACTCCGGGGGCTCGAGGCCGGGAGAGGGGGCGCCTCGATCCTCGTCCAAGGCCCCGGGGTGGGGGCGTGGAGGGCCCGAATCAACGCCCGGACCCCCGAGGACGCGCGATCTTCGTCCAGATCCGGAGGCCTCCCGGCGTCCTCGATCCCCTCCCCGAACCCAAGGGATGGAGCGCCCGGATCCCGGCCCGCACCCCCGCCCTTACCGGTCGCGCGGGTCGATCCACGACGTCTGGCGCGTGTTGTGGTCGATGTAGAAGACGCGG